CTAAGTCACCTTTAACCTTATATTTGGTAAACTTAATGGAATTAACTTCTGTTACTGCTCTCTGCAAGTGCGGTTTTTCCATACTATGAATCATTGTTGTCACTGTTTGCTGAATCTTCTAGCCTTTCCAACATCCTTTTAAAAGCAGCATTGTATCATAATAGCTGTCTAACTAATGGTATATACAAATGTATATACAGATGTAGTGTCACCTTCCTCCTCTCATTCATTCAAGAACTTTGCAACTGCTGTTTGCAACAGGCTTGTGCTGGAGCACTTCCTCGGTCCTACGCAATGGTCCTTAGATGCTGGCTGGAGTCAGAGTTTTCCAAGTAGGGTGTTGCATCATCTGGCCTTTGCCTCTGGCCTAGGACATGACTTCATGGTTGTTGAGCAAGTGCACAGCAGAGCTGGAGAATACAGGCGGTTTCTTCCAAGGCTATTTGTCACTGGAACTTTGAAAATGGGATGGAAACCACTTTCTGTTTGGTGCAGTAGGATCTAAATTAAAATTACACCTTTCCCTGTAAACTGCACCCTCTTTGTAAGATACAATTTCCTCAAAGCATCCCCACATTTCTCCCATTATTTCCCCAGACAGTGGCAATGCTGTATTCAGGCAGCTGTCAAGGTCTTAAGAGATTACTGGATCAACTGATTTTTTAAGGCCAGCACTTTTCTTTGCCAAGTAAGTGTATGTTCTAGGAATTCACTTTAAGGTGCTGATTTACTAAATGCATCCCCTTTTACCTGGAATAATTCCCCCAAAAATGAAAACAGTTTTGTGAAACCTAAGGAATTTTTCAGAGTAAGGTTTTTGTAATGGGTGCTGTTTTCAGATCTCACTACAGTTTTGTTCCCATCTGCTTCATGGACCTTACTCCTGAGCAGAAGCACTGCTTTGCTTTCTGTTCCTCTACATAATTTTCTATCAGCAATGCAGACTTCCCCTGCAGCGCTTGCTGCTGGAAGCAGGTTTTTGTAATGCTCTGCACCTCCTCAGTTCTCTAATCTGTTTCAAGAGTCATCCTAGTAAACACTGACAGGCCTTCACTTAATCATTTTCTCCTCTCCTTCTGCTTATTTATTTTTACATAGTTGTTCACATTATCAGCCTATTGTAGTGAGGTTTTATTTTCTTACATGCCTGTAATATAGTCAGGCACTTAGTCATAGAACATGCAAAAGATGTCATATAAAAGAAAATTATACTATAGTTTTGCACACTGATTGGCTTTAAAAAGAGTAGGTACAAAGTATCACTCCATAACGAAACATTCAATTGTAGGGAGATTAAGGACCCAATGATTTGACTGAGAGACACTTTTTCCTAGAGAAATGTGGCTGCATGTGGCATCTTTAGTGGAAAACACAAATTACCTGTGTAACAGCAGTACCTAAAGAACCACCATGAGTGGGCCTTGTGCCTTGGGGCCCTGTACTACTGCACTGCCAGCCTCAAAGCGTAAATAAGCTGCAAGGAGCAGGTTCAGCCAGCTGCCCACAACTGAATCTACCTGCAAGGTGGTTTTATATGCTCACAGGGAATGTTGTCTTGTCAGCAGCCACTGAAGGTATTTCCATACCTGATTATCCAGATACATGCATGAGTGATAGAGGGAGGAGCACAGATCTAAGTGAAGGCTGACATGGTTGCTGTAGGAACATGGAGGTATTGGTAAAAATGTCTGCCTGGACACAGAAGTGCCTCATGAGCCATGACTCTGAAGAGGCAGGATGGAAAAGGGAAAGCTGGATACAGTGCTACCAATCACAAAGGGCAAGGATGGAGTGGGTGCAATCCAGCAAGTACTGCTATCCGAAAAACACAGCATCATTGCAGAGATCTGTGCAATCTCAGTTTTTCAGATAAGTTAGCTTTCCTTTTTTTTTTTTTTAGCTGCTGGTGATGCAGGAAGAAAGACTTCTCCTAGAGAAGAGGCATGCATCTATATTTTTGTGAATACTTCTCATATCCAAAGAACTGAAGTGCTGCATTTAGAAGCAGAGCAATGCCAGTGCAGGCAGCAAGGAAGAGAGACCTTAACTTTACTTACAGAAGATAAGCGATCCTTAACCTCCCACTTTGCCTGTTTAAGTAAGTGTGAATCAGTAACCAACTTGATTTGCTCCCTAGCATTTGTATGTCAAGCACTTAAGCTAACCTTAGGGCCGAAAGGGGGTTATAGCACCATTAGTGTGACAGTAAAGTATCTCACTTCCTCAATAAAAATGCTATTCTGTATTATTTTAAGCTACTTTTATAGTTTTACAAGGTGTTGCTTCCTTTCTAATACAGACATTTCACCCTACTCCTCACATCAAAAATTCCTCCCACTAATGCAGTTCACCCAGTGGCAGCCTTCAGCTGTGGAGGCAGATCTGCCAGCCTCTTACTCAGATTTTCTGACCTTGCTGAAACAGATTTCAACAACACAGTAAGCAAATACTGTTGTCCTGGCTATGTCAGCTGTCAGTGCTGAGTAGGTTATGGAGATGCACCCAGCACATCCACTGAATTTTCAAGGAATGATTCTCCAAGTCAAAAATAGAAGATGTCAATACAGATGTACATCAAACTATTTCCCAAGCATCTTTCTCAGAGAGAAATTCTGTTTTCAATCCTCATTTTCAGATATAAGTAACACCTACACTTCCCAGAAAATTCAGGTGCTGACTCTGAAGAGTCAGGTCAGCGGCTTTCTAAAGCATGCTTTCTGTAAAGACTGCTTTTTTAGAAATAAAGTGATCCACACTGGAGACTCTGCAGTAGAAGATCAAAACACAATAACCTTGAAAAAACCCAAGAAGATCATGTTTCAATTCCAGAGGACTCAGCTCAGAGTAAACATAATCTAGTTGATTTGTCTGGTCTCTTGTGTACATCTTGGGAACAACTGATTGAGCAAATTGCAGGCAGCCCAAAAGGTTAATACCTTTACAGTTAGCAATCAGACCTGACTGTATTTTTGTTGTTTTCTTTTTTTTTAAAGATGGTGACATATTTCCAGACTTATTTGTTAAAACACTTTTTGATGTTTAACCTCTTCAGCAAATGAGTGTTCATTTGCAATTCAAACAACAGAAAAAAGCCAACATGGGTCTTTGTTTGTATGGGATCTTTTAGGTAAAATACCCCAGCTTCTGCACTTGCTATATAATAGCACGACACATCCAGAGAGAGAGAGCCAAGCTCCTTTGACATGTGCAAGGCTTTGTATGCACAAATCATTCAGGGCAGTGGACATCACTGTTAAAAATCAGGTTAGAAAAAAAAGCTTTAAAAAAAAAAATCAGAAAGATGGTAAACCATAGCTTGGATTACAGAAGGCACTCAAGGAACAGCATAATTGAAAAACTTACTAGGTAAAAAACACTTGAGAGAAAAGAGGACAAAATGGTTGCTGGCTTTTGTGGATCCCCTTTCTTCACATAGACATTTCCCATGGCTGAGTCATGCCAGTTTAATCAGCTCCCACATACTAAATCCCTCTCTGTGCTGTGTTTGCTCATTACTCTGCATGCATAAGCCCCTCAGCTCTATTGCTGGCTAAATATACCTCCCTCACTGGCTGGTTTGTTTTTGTGTGGCTGCACAAAGAGCTGCACTAGCACAACTGAGAGAACAACACAGAGGTGGAAATAAATGGCCAAATGCAGGAGCTCCTGAGCACCTCTCTAAAGAACTCTGCAGGTGAGAGGCATGTTCACAGAAAGATGACACGAGGCAGTCACCTTTCCCCAGGCACAGGAGGGAACTTCAGTGCTTAATCCAAAGCTTGGCATTCTGTTACAGCCACATTCTCTGAAATTCAACATGGCAGAACACAAGCTGAGGTGTAGCTGAGGTCCCAGAGCATGCAGGTGTTCAGAGACTCAGCTGAACAAGAAAGAGGTTGCTCTTGCAAGATGTTCTAATGCTGGTAAGTTCACCATGCTGAACCAAGCCCAAACAGTAGCTTTGCCACCTTCTCTTTCTGGGCACAGAATCAGGTCTGGTTTACTCAAACTCAGGGCTCAGAGCAAGTCATAAAGCGTCAAAAGTCAGCAGCAACTAAGTTCCTGCTAATTATCCTTACCTGCTACAAGCAAATCCTTCATTTTGGGAATGGGTGCAGACAATTGCAAAACAGAACAAGAATCTCTTGTCACTCCATCCTGAAGGCAGGCAGGTACCACTAACTTATGGGCTGCACTGGGACAGAGGAGCTAGGAGGCCTGTATTCCTGAAGGGTCTGTCAAGTGCTGTGTCAGTTAAAAACATCTGTTGCATGACTTTCCATGAAACTGCCTCTCTTGCATTTGCTGGTATGTAATGTCTGCACTCCGAAAATGCTATTCCTGAGTGGTGCTCACTCTCACAAAATAAGCACTCCTTGTATAAACCATGAATGATGATATATAACAGTAGTATAAACCTCCCAAAATCAGTCATTACCACAGTTAAACTGTTAGCCTATTAACTACCCTCAGTGTTGCCTTAGAGCTCTTAACTGCTGGCTAAAACTGATTTTCACAGGGATTATACTTACACAAGGACCAAAGAGGGTCTAAATTAAGATATGGACTGTTTGTTACCAGGCAGACCAAAAAGTAACCATTTAAGTTCTCCATAACTTATTTGGTCCCAACCTTAAACACCCCTATTTGTGATGCTCTCAGAGCATATATAAACTCAGTAACTCTGCAAACAAGTATTTTCCACAAAAGTCATACAGCAATAGAAATAAAAACACTTCCTAATTTTTTCTTTTTTGAAGCTCCAACCAGATTTAATTAAAATAAACAAAAAAAGTTGGTCTCTATTTAGCGCCTCCATTATATAAAGAACAACTAAAAATAGAAACTGAAGCTGTAACAGAACAAAATGAGCATTTAACATTCTTGCAGTGAACTGAATCCCTTCAGACTACTTGCTCAGAAGCCCAGCATTATCTAATATTTCTTGAAGCCCAAATTAATCATTTACGCTTTTTGATGAAAAATTAGACACAGACAATGTTACTGCTTTTATTACAAAATGTAAATAAATTCAAAAATTGTAAATCTAGGTGTACAATTTAATTTAAAAATGAAGTCTAACTGACAGTCCTCTATGAGCTGGTGTCAGATGTGGCTAAGGAAATAGATGAAGAAGATGAAGAAGAAGATGGGGAATATTCATTATTTGTTATTGATGCTTTTTCTTCATACTGTGGAGGCGATTCAGAGGAGAGGTATAGCATCGGTAAGATATCTGACGGTGAGCTGCTTCCAGAAATTGTATATATGGTTTCATAGTCTCTAACAGCAACTGTTCTTCCATCATCTGCAAGCTGTGCTCTATAAAACACAAACCAGCATATTAGCATAATTCACTTCTCTACTGTGAGTGAAATTCCACTTGACTTACATAAACACACATGTATGCACACGCTCCCTAAAAATCCCTGAAGCAAAGAACTTGCATAAGCATTAGGATTTTTTTCTGTGGGCTACGTTATGACTCATATGAAAATTCTATTACTTCAGAGGGGAAGGGCAAACAACCTCCCTTCTAACCTTTCACATCACCAGCCACAGCCTGGCTTATGGGTATTAGCTGCTTCTGGCAGGGCTATCTCACAATCTTACTAAATCTTCTTATGATCTTTGGTTCCTAATGTATCTTCCCTTTTGTAGTCTATCACATACACACTGTTCCCTTCCCTTAAGAAAGACAGTCCCTAGACTTAGAATTGCATCACAAAAATCACAATCCTTAGCCATTTGAGATCTTACATGAAAGGCAACTTGAAACTTTTATTAAGCTTTCCAGCAACCCATGACAGACATAAGGAGCAGCATTCCAGCTCAGAGAGTTGCGCAGAAGCAACTGGACATGACCAGACTGCTAAGTTCCCAGTGACAGTCAAGGAGGGTAGCCAAGTATTCATTGCCCTCCTCTGACCATCATAACTGGATACCCATCGGTTGCACCCACATGGTTCTGGTACCCTGCTCATCTCGCCCTGGAGTTCGCCCTCAACATATTGCTTCAGCTGCTTCCCAAGGAAAGGGAAGAACTTGTTCCTCATGACTCACTCCCAGAGCTGACTCTTGCCTTTTTGCATACATCTGTACCCACACCAATACTGTGTGAGGAGCAGGAATATAGAGTATAGTCACCTCATCTTCAGTGCTGTTACTGGCATGTGAGGGTGTGTGTTTAAAGGAGAGAGAAGAGAACATACTACAAGACAAATGCTGAAGTGCTATGTAACAGCCTGCAGGAAAAAAGCAACCACTTCTGGGATCACCATGGCTCAGCTTCCTACAAGCACTCTCATCCAGCACAGCCTGCACCACAGCACCTCCTGATAAAACATGCAGCAATGGACTAAAGAGGCAAATCACATTTGCCTAGTAACCACCCATGTATGAAGTGGGTACTCCCTTCCAGCTTTGGGATCTTCAACCATGGCACTGTGTTAGGAGGAACAAGGCCACTGCTTCTCCTCCATGAAAGGGCTTGGGAACCAATTTGCACTAGTCAGGATGCCATGGCTGCTACCAAGTGCTGAGACATGGGAAAGCATGATTGAGTGAAATACCCAGAGGTGGTATCAACTCACAGGGTCTCTGTGAGGACCTTAGGGAGCATGGAGGGGCAACAGCTAGAGCACCCCCAGCCGCAGAACACCAAAGCAGGATGTCAGGGTTTCTGCATCCAAGGCTGCAATGTTTCGTCCACTCCACTAGAAACTGTCCCAACAAGCTGGGCTACAAAGTGCCTCTTTGAGTACATATGTTCACAAGACAGAGAAGTCAAGACAGGCAATTGACGATGATTAAGCTGATGGAATCACACACAAAGTTCAGAGCACCAGAAATGGACATTTGTGGGTTGAGGCAGTTGATCCAGCTGCAGGGGATTTTGTAGGAGAATGGGTGAAGGAAAGAGGGGTCACCTGGTATGTGCACCAGCAGGGAGAGCCCACAAGAAGTCTGAGGAACTAGCTTTTTTGCCATTCCCCCACTGCCCTTTGTTTTCCCTTTTTCAGTGCAGGATGTACTGCTTGCATTCTTTCACACCTTTTGATAATCCACACATTTGACCAAGCAAATGGGCAGGCAACCCACTCAGGGCCTGAAATTACAGGGTAGAGAGGACTTGTGGCCCTCAGTTTTGTGCATTGTACTTTTACAGATAGGTGGTACAAGTGTCACTCTGTCTCTCAGCTGCTTGTAAGGCTACAGCAGAACATGTATGTTCCCATATTTCTCCCAGTTATCCACTCCAGCCTGGTCTTCTATATGTATTTAAACTGAAATGTTTTTTGAGGGTGTCCTTAGACCATACTTGAATTGGCTGCCTGAGGGTTACCAGAGGTCCAGGTTCACACTCAGGGCAAGCCACTTCTCCACACATCCATGTGCTTTGTATGTACATCTGGGAAGTACATGCCAGAAGCGAGTTACAGCACATGCTGGAACTGCAGCACAGACAGGCTCAGTGTGGTGCCTAACTGCAGGACTAACAGCAGCTGGTATGAAACACCTTCCAGCTGTGGACGCCTTCACCAAGCCCAATAAGAACACAGACACTTCATGAAAATTCCTTCCTTCAGCCACAGGAGTTTATTTTCTCTCCCGCTTGCTCTGGGTGCCCTTTGACTGCAGTAGTATAGTTCTGAGAGCTGATATATTTCACTTGCAATCTGAGAACAGGCAAAGACTTTTATACTTAATAAAATGTTTCTTCACACAACACTTTGTGCCTGGTCATGAGAGCCACTGCTCTCTGGAAGGCACTTTTGCTTGATCAACCCTGACATCCTTCTCATCCCCACAACTACCCTTGTCATCCTGAACTGGCAGGTGTTTAGGGCACTGAGTAATCAACAGATTCTCATCAGCTTTGTACAAAAAGTACTCTCTCTGAAACAATTTAAGTGGAAAAACAGCAGACTAAATGAATTATGTGTGTAGCTAGGGTTTATTAGGCATTGCATCCTTCAGCACAAGTCATCAACCTCAAGCTGGACCTCAGTCAGTGGGAACCAAACACTGAGCATCTCCCTTCCCATGTGGTATGAACACGTAATTTTTTTGTTTGGGGGCCAGTCCCACTGTGCACTAGAGAGTGTTGCACTAGTAACAAGAAAGAGTGAGTAGGGTTTTCAACAGAGAGGTGTTTATTCCATGTTAAAAAAAATATTTTGAGAAAAGGCAGAAGGACAGTCTGGCTTGTGGTAATAGCAACAGAAAAAGGCACCTGCTGTCTCCAACAAAGATGGGGAGAAAATGTTTAGAGGAGGGCACTAGGGAATAGAAGACAGCATGAGGAGTTGATGGTGATTGACTAGAGAACAGCATGTCACACAGTGGGGCTGAGCCTCAAGAATTCACCAGGTATACTTCAAAAGATGACTAAAAAGCCACAGCCATGGCTGCACACAGCATGGTAACAAGAATAAGCACCATTGCCAACACAAGTATCTTCCTCCTGCAGCATTTAGGTCTTTGGGCAGGAAGAGGGTTTGTGCTTGCTTGCTTCAAAAGGAAAATTAGCACTAGAGTTTTGAAGAAGTACCGACATCAGGCACACAGCTGGTACAGCTGGTCATGGAACGCACTACCTCATGTGAGCAGAGAAGTCTGGAGTTTAGTGGAAAGCTATTAAAGCAATGGCCCAACAACTACTACAATTGGATGCAACCAGGCAGGCTGGGGCTCTTGCTGCAGTGATGGTGCTTAGAATGCTGCAGGTACAGTCTTGTAAACTAAAGTAATTCAATGAAAAAGTCCCACACCACCTACTGACTCACAGATCAAAACCAAGCTGGCATAGGACCTTCCAAAAGGTAAAGCCAGTCAATTCTGGATCATTAAGGGCCTGAAAGTAAGTTGGGAGCTCTAGGCATGTGTCATCTAGCTCTCCTGGCCAGATCTAGTTCTGGATCCTAGTATGCGGCCCTTGCTTGCAGTGACCTCTTTCACCCTCAAGTTAGCAGCCTACTGGCAGTAACACACAGGGAATAAATGACCCTGCAAGTTCTTGTGGTGCAGACAACTCTTCAGTCAGTTGGCAGCTCTTGCTCCCTGAGCTTGGTGGTGGCAGCATCTAGCAAATCAGCTGTACTCAGTGTATAGAAGGGTGGCTGCATGGGTAAGGTACAACATCTTGAGATGAAGTTGGCACTGCAACCTCCCTTTTAAGCTCCCTGGAGCCTCCTGCTCTACTCCTGCAGTATCAAGGAATCCTTTTATCTCAACACACTGCCACAGCAGCAACAAGGCAGACCAGCATGGCAGGTCTCACTTCCTCAAAGCAGTGAGATAAGGGTCACAGGGAGAACAGAATACACTAACATGGCATTCCCAGGGTCACAGGGCCTGGGGACAGCTGTCATGAAGGGCTCGCTGCATTGATTCTACAGAGGCTTCCTAAAATCTGGCAGTGTAGATATCATGCTACTGGGGCACTGCTGTCAGGGGCACTTCCTCTTGGACAATCTGTGGAAGAAAGCTAATCTAAGTATATTTAATAAGGTCACGGATTTAAGGCTTTGTTTTCACTTCAAAAGTTCTTTTCAGTCATAATAAACTGGTAAGAATTCAAGCTTCATGAAGGTCACTCTGTGGTTTGTGATTCCCCTTTTACACTAGGATATTTTAATGCCATTTCAAGTAAGGTATCCAAAGTTAGTTGAGTGATGCACTAGAAAACTTTGTAGTGCCTAGTAGAGAGTTAATTCACAGCGATTATTTAAGAACATTGCCTTGGATACATTGAGAAACAGCTCAGATTTCCAAAGCCAAAGAAGAAAACAGTCTTACCCATCACTGAAGATAGAGTGGTATGGTGGAGGATTTTCACTTGTAGGCAAACCACTTGACATAAGACAATGTGTCACAGTTGGTGACACAGCGTCCGCAAAATAAGGAGGTGGTGGAGGTGGGAATACCATTACAGCATCACCTAGGAAAAAACCACACCAATTACTACCTCTGAAAAATTGAGCACCACTGTTTATTCTAACCATATCCTAGAATATTTCCTGTCCTTGGAATTCCAGTATTTGTACTTGTCTACCTTTTAAGATAAAATGCAATGATCCCACATACAGAACTGTTATATTCTGGGCTGTTAAAGTACATTGGAGTTAAGTCCAAAACCCAAATTATCCCAAAATAAAGATGCAGCATATTCATAAATGGAAGATTTCATTTAGAAAATACAGCTGTGCAAGGGGCATGTTCCATCTAGCTAAGACACAAACCTCTTTACTGTTGGCTGTCTTCAGAAACTGTACACAGTTACTGTTGGCTTACTTTAAGGGTAGGCAAGTATTCAGTTTTCCTCACATATCTAAAATAGGGCAGTTTAAGTTTCTCCACATCTACTGCAGTGTTACAACAAAAGTATTCAAGTCATTAATGGTTCTGATGATTGGTTTTGTGTGCCTTGACAGTTTGCCTACTAAATTACTGGTAGCTGAAGGTGCACTACTAACATTAGTACCACGACACTATTGATACATAATTCATTATTAAGTGTATCCAGTACTAAGTGCAGCGTATCTGCCAATTTCAATTTTGCAATTGAGGAATTTCAATTTTATTTTTTTTTTAAAACAAAGTTTGTATCAGTCACCAAGCTTGCATAATTTCTATAAACATTCACAGCTGTCTGGCACCTTTCTTCTTTCGAAGTTTGTCTGCAGAGACAGGTCAGGGAGCATCAAAAATGTTGAGTGAGGTGGGGGGTGTTTTTTAGCTGAGTCACCAGTGTTCCAGAATGTCACTATGCCAACCAGACCTCAGCCTTCAGCCTTTCAGTTTTACTTTTCTTGATGGAAGTACAAAAGGAATCCACTAATTTTGCTTTCTTGCCTTTAAAGACTATCTGAATTCCTTTTTATGACCCTTGGATTTATCCTGGTGGCTGGAAAACTAACTTTAAACCCTCACGTTTTCTGAGGGTCACCACGTTACAGGTCTATACGCTGGTTTGACAGGCAGAAGGAAAAAAAGTTTTGCATAATGGATTTCAAGTCCAATCAGTCAGATGACAGTCAACCAATACTACAATTGACTCATTAATCCTTTCTGAGAGCTAGAAAGTTACCCACATAATCTATGTGCAGAATGTATTCATGGGGTATTAAAAGCAGTCCTATATGCAGGGGAGCATTCCCTGCTAACGTACCACATTTACTCAAATACTGTGCAATTAACAGAAGCATCCTGCAGTTACATCTCTGACTGATGGAAGATGTGGCCATGACAAAAAAAACCCAAAACAATACACTGCTTATGAATCAGATTCTTTAAGGGGTCAGAGCTCAACGCTAAAATAAATCTTAAATATAGTCACAGAAGTCATTAGACCTGTGATTTGCAGTGTCAGCTACACCCTTGGTGAAAGGAAGTGGATTGGACTCATTTGTGTCAGATGACATGGCTTCTTTTGCACAGACAGTTGGACCTTTCTTTTTATGCCAAAGGAGAGGTGTTGTCTTTGAGAGAAAGGTAACTGAACTGACCATGCAGTAAACATACAAGGCAAAGCAACATTATTCTGTTTTGGCTGGTTTGACATGCCAGAACTGACATGCTTAGAGCTCAAGTGAGTAATATTCAGAGATAAATCAAGAAGGGAAAAAAAATCCCTATGAACTCTCAAATGTAAAGTTCACACATTATTTACCCACCTACTGTAACCTGAAAAGAGTCAGGGCTCTCAGGATGTTCTTCACTTTCGCAAGATTCTTGGTTGAGATTTAAGTTTTGTTTCTTTTTAACATGAGCTATCACGAAGAAACACAACCCAGTGAGCACAATCAAAGGTCCCATGATTTGAAGTGACAGGAATCCACAGCCCTGAAGGTCCACATCAGAACTGCCGGTGTGGTTGAGCTGTATGCTGTGCCAGCTGGGGCTGCAGCCAGGAACCCAAATGCCCAGGATGCTAATTAGCATTCCACTAGTTAAAAACAGGAATCCAAATATGAGAAACTGGGCAAACTGACAGCTACCGCGACAAAAAATAAGGCTGTACACCTGCTCATTTTGCAATTGTCTTTGTCTTATGTACAGCCTAGCCCTTGATCGTGCCAGTAAAACACAAACCAGTCCAGTTACAGCAAGCACAGGCCCCGCAGCCTTGAGGACCTCATTACAGTCACTGAAGGTTCCAGATGGGCATGACTGGAGAATAAAGACTGAAAGCAGGAATCCAGCGCAGAGCAACACAGCTCCAAAAACAAAAAGGAAAAAAATGAGTTTCCCATGTTGTCCATTATTTCCTTCACCTCCTGGTGCAGGAACAGCCACTGGATACATTACAACAGAATCTCCTCAAGCAGATGAGTTGTGTTTTTTTTTTTTTTTTCCCTGTTAGCATTAAGTGGCAGAAAACTACAGTAGATCTGTGAACATGAAAATACACAAATCAAAAGAGGGAAAAAAACCCAGTGTGACTAGCTACTTTATAACATTTACTTCTGCAATTGCTACTCAGCCTATATTGTATACTCCTGGTGTATTTTCTGTTTTGTAGTACCTCCATTATGAATGAAAGGGCCTAATCAAGTTTGCTGCTGTTGAATGCTGATGAAAAGACAGAACTTGCTTTACAGTTAGACTGAAAACACCTGTAATTGCTGTTGCAGAGCTAAATGAATTGTTTCTTTAGATACACAGTCTTATGATTAAGGGGATATTATTTTCAAAGGCTGAATCTTGGGAACAAGGACAGGCTAGCCTTCCCCCCGAAAACAGAAAGCTAGGGGAAATTTCTGTAGTGACTGACAGGAAGTGACAGCTCTTGAAAGAACCTTAATGCAAATGAGTATTGATGACTATTGGACTTTTTACAAAGTAAATCTTCTAATACATACCTTTTTGAAGTATATAAATCTTGCTTCTCCTTCCACAAGCAATAAAGACTTTTCTGTTTCTCTCCTTAAATCAGCTTCCTGTCCTATACTGCTGCAAGAGCAAGTACACAGAAGGTTTTTGGTTCTGTTCTGAAAAGAAAAAAAAAAAAAGGAAAAAAGCCATACTAAAGACTGTGTACTTCAAGTCTCACTGATTCCATAGTTAGAGTTGGTACGCAGACTGCTCCCACACTTCCTTTCAACCTTCCCTACTCCTGAATCCTTTGTCTATGCTCCAAGAAAGCTTTAAAAAGAAATATAAAACATGTCTCCCAGAAGGCTTCTGAGCCCACAGGAGTCTAGATTCAGAAGTAAAACAGAAGGTAGTGCTGAGGCCAATAACAGTCCATATGGTAGTACAGATGACAAATCTGCTGGATGTGGACAAACTGGGGTGGGGAGTACCACTCAGTGAGCTCTAGGAAAAAAAAAATTCTACCATTACCCACAAGGAAGTTTGTGTTGCTCTGACACTCTGGCCTACAGGGCTCAGGTGGACACCTGTACTCCATACCACGGTGACTAGCAATCACAGAGATTCCGGTCCAAGTGGCTACTATCCATCAAAAGCCAACCTGAAACCCAGGGGAATTTCAGACTATGGAAAATAGTAAGTCTGGACTGATCATGAGAAAGCTGTCCCCTACCAAGTGTAGGAAGTACTTCAGCATGCTCATACTGCAGTGTTTTAACACTGCTCTCTTCCCCTCACCAGCAGTCTCCCATGACAGACAACTTCTTCTACAGCTTGGATGTATCAGGAAGGATATATAGGGACTAAAAGTTATTCCACAAGAAAAACAAAGTATTATGTGATTTCTGGAAGCAAACTGTTGAACATGTGTCAGCCACAACAAGCTTCACATCACTCCCCAGTAACTGCAGTGCCCCACTGGGATGAAAACAAAAAACAACCATAAAACCCACTAGTCACTCAAATACATAGTTATCTGTCTGCGATGCAAGGCAATCTATCAAGTCACTTTACTTAGCCACTTGTAAGAGTAGGACCCAATTAAAGAATTGGCTAAGCAGATACACGAATGATGAAGTTAAATGCTTTACTGCTGAACATCAAACCAGACCCCCAGCAGCACAGAAGAAGGTAGAGAGCAGCATGCAGGTAGAAGGCCCAATAAGCATGAGACTTGATGGGCAAGGAAACAGGCTGCACCACACAGCAAGAAAGCCACTGCAGGAAGCAACAAAGTCTCCCAGCTCGCTATCTCGAATAGCAGAACTGAGGGGGACCCTCCTTAATGCATCCCATTACTGTGGTCAGTTAATTTGTAAACTATGTCTGCTAAGCGATTCTTCACTGTTCTGAATTCAATCTATCCCTCAGCTAAGACTGCTTTGAAAAACTGCTAACTGAGGGTCCCTTGGCAGAAGAGTCACAGCTTCACTCTGGAAAAAAAGAAAAAACGGTTATAGAGAGCACTAAAGATAGGACAGTATGTCACAAAAAAGAAGTTAAAGAAATTCTGATAGATTTCAAACTGAAGACCTTTAGCCAGCAACACTTTTAATCCTGCATGAGCTGGAGTCAGTTTGGGGGCTCTGCTTCTGAGCAGAGAAAATGGATTAGGTTGATCACTCCTTCCTTGATTTCGCTGGTCTTTCCTAAGTTAATAAAATTGTTTCTCATAACTGCATATGCTCCTTCATGTTTAGAAATGTTTCCCATTTTCACAATTGATCTGAGGTGGCTCAGATTTACTGACCTACCAAAAAATGCACAAAACCGAGAAAAGGGCCTCTGAAATAGAAAGAAAACCCAACCAACCAAAAAAAGCCCCGTTTCAGACACAACTGTCTTGAGATATTTTTCTGCTGAGGCACATTAACCATTGTAACAGCAATACACTATAATTAGAGAGAACTCTGAATCCTTTCTTCGCAGTTCCTTCTAGGGAAGAAAACATGGAAATAAGTGCAAGTAAATTAGGACAAAAGGAAATAATGTGAGGAAAAAAAATTCAAACACTTAGCCCTTAAAAAGAAAAATCTAGAGATTTGTTCTCATTACTCCAACACAGCGCCTGCTTCTTTTCCACCAATCTTCTTGTTATGAGATTAAGTTAAAACACACATTAGAAATGAAGCATGTGCATATTTTCTTAATTCCTTCAGGCCACAAAAGAAAGAACATTCAGAACAGTCTGTTGTGGCTTTGAAGATGAAAGCCACAGATTTTATGCTGCAAAATCCAAGGGAGGACTAATTTTCATTTACGCTACCACCAAATTTTAATAGAAAACCCAGTGCAAGATTAAGCTTTATTTCTTGTGTTTCAAGAAAAACTATTTTAAGAAAGAAGCAAGCCTTATACTGGCTATGTGCTTGAAATATTTCCATCTGATATCTCCACAGGCATCTTGACATAAAGGAATTTTCCCTTCATATTGACCCCAAGTCTGAGAGCAGACATGGAAATACTAGGTCAGAAACTGCTAGAACAAAATCCAGTAGTGTGGAGGCAGTTAAGCATGAGGGAAGAGGGAGCTGGAAACATAGCTTGTAAAGGAAGTCTGGTTATAAGCTTAACTTGATATAGTGCTTTACCCTTTTGTAAGTCTGGCTCATGCCAGGTATACAGAACAGGAAGTAACATCACAGTTTCTTGTAATTTTTCTGTGTAACACTTCTTTTGCAACTTTCACATTAATGGACTACTCCAAGGATTTTAAAATACAAGTTTTAATGATGAAACTGGGACTTCTTGCTTTCTGTTTGAACCTTCAGAGTCCATATTGTCCAAGATTTCCACTGCAAACACCAGGGCTATAAATTTACTCCCCCTTACTCATATGAAATTTGATAGCCCCATGCAGTCATATGAATACAGGAACTGAGGTTTAAAAGAGAGAAGCATTGGAAGAATTAAAACACTGCTGTCCCTCTGTTTTATGTTTCCCAGAGTAGGCCCTGTTCCTGTTCTTTCACTTGCAAAAGCACCCAATCATTTCATGCAGAAGGATCAGGTCTACTCTGTATTGTTATTTCAAGAACTACAACACCCTGTCAGTTGTAGTCCACAATGGAAACCCCATTAGAAGTCACAAGCCATCCTTTTCACAAGTTTTCCATTTAAGTGTTTTCACCCATACTTCCAGTTTTTTAACTGCTACTGGGAAGTTGCCATTGCCATTGTGTAATTTTTTTTTTTTAAATTTTTAAAATTTTTCTTTTCTTCCCTAGTTTCAAATTAAACCATGACTCCTGATAGGACAAGCTACCTGGAAGGAAAAGTCCTCTCAACTTCATTCAGTTTAACTTCCATGTCAAAACATGAATGGCTCTCCACTTCCTCTCACTCTCTGTATCTAATTTTCTCCTCCATTCACATCTGCCTCTGTACCTGTGCCATTTTCTGTTTTTTATCATATCACAGTTTCACCACTGGATTGCACTCTTGACATTCAGCAGAAGCACCCATACATGAGCACAGCTGGTTAAAGTAAATTGGAGTTTGCCACCTCCGTCCCCACACTCTTCCCTCCTCATGGTGTTTTTAATCACTTCTATGAAGACCTTGGGGGGAAGGCCTCACAGGATGTACATTCAGTTTTCCACTTTCAAGCAACATTAAGACTACAAGTTTTGAGATGTCAAATATATCCAATTTGATCTCATGTATGCAGACTCTAATTAGTCCCTGATAGTGCTCATCTCACAGTAAAAGAGGGGTAACGCTATGTTGTTATTTACGACCGTTGTGCGTGGGGCAGGAGTCAATGTCTGGAGAAGTGCTGGAAAGCAGCTGCAGTAGGAATTTCCAGAAAATGGCATGAATCCTGCCAGTCTCCAGACACGTGTGCCAGGGATCCTCCTCACCACAAACTGGCAGAGTCAGGGATTCTGACCTGTGCCAGACAGAGCTGCGCCCCATGAAGAAGCTGTCAACTACTATCCCTGTGGGCTACAGGAGAAAACCAGCTGGAGTAAAAGCTGGTCCACAAATGTTCCCCCCTTACTTTGGCAGGGAAGAGAGTCCCAATGCCATGGTTGGATGCAAGGACCCCAAAAGGGTGTCTAGACACAGAGAGGACCTTGCAAAGCAAAGTTTGGTAACCTACTGGTTGGATGCCATGCAGGCAACTAGGACAGCACCTAGATTAAACAATGGGCTCTGAAGTGTCCCATGTATGTGGGTGGGATGCTTTTCACATGATGAACTGGTGGCACGCATGAGCCGGGACAAAGAAACTCCTATTTTCTGGAGTACCTGCAAGGAGACTGGGGGGAAGGTAGATGGACACGGTTAAAGGCAGAGCTGACTTTGTTCAGACAAATAACACAAGACAAAGATATTTCTGGCAAATTCTGGGAAGGTCTGCCCCATGGGGCTGAGTACCCCAGAGCAGCAAAAGTCACACACAGAGACATACAGATCTTTGAGAGGAGAGGATACGACAGCGACCACCAGGAAGATG